TGCAAAGTTGACTTTAATATAGCTTCATGAGCTGCTTAACAAGTGATTCCACCATGATATCAGGCATGCTGGAACAGGGAAACAATTAAAACATGTTTACATCAAATAAAACACACACACACACACACACACACACACACACACACACACACACACACACACACACACACACATATAGCACTTAAAAATACAGAAACACATCCACCCCACCAAATAACACTGATGACCACACCAGATATAATTTTACCATCCCAAGGCTTCCATTATATTATACACTTATATTTCATACTATATCATAACATAAATGTTAAGTGGAAAGCATCTCTTCCAGACTTTTAGTGCTTCTTGTTGTGGAATGTCCAAGTCATTTAGAACAGCGAAAAGAGCCGCAGCGACCTTTGCTTCAGACGCCATCTTCGTTGTTTATGAGAAACTGAGTGTTGCGGTGTGTGACGTACACTGCTCAGTGCTGAGAGTGTACGGGGTGTCATTTGTAAAGTCAAACAGTCATAATGTAACAGCAGTTGTTTTGGGTTATTTAGCCTATCACAAGAGAAAATATAGGAGTTAATTATTCAAAGTCATATTCTCACCATATTATTTGTACATTTATTAATATTAAAATTCCCAACTGAATAGTTAGCAAGCTAAATATTAAGTTTAGAGTAAAATGTTTTTTTTTACAAGCTAAATATTTAGCTCAGACCTAAATATTGATTCTTGCTAAATCAATATTTAGGTTTAGCCCCAAAATAAATATTTAGCTGGGATCTAAATATTTATTTTGGAAAATAAATATATAATTTGGAGCTAAATATTTTGTTTGTAAACTAAATATTTAGCTCAAATTTATATATCTAGTTAGTAAATTTTATATTTAGTTAACAAACTAAACATTTAGGTCAGACCTAAATATTCATTTTTCAAACAAAATATTTAGGTTTGATTGAAATATTTAGTTTGTAAAATAAATAGTTACCACTAAATTAAATATTTAGCGTGCTAACTAAATACTTAGTTGGGGACTTTAACGTTTTTGTATAACATAATGTATGTATAACATTTTGACAATATGAAATAGAAAAATGCACTCCTATTATTTGTTTTCTGTTATGATAGGCTAAATAACCCAAAAACTGCTATTTTATGATGAGTGTTTGACTTTGCAAATGGCACCCAATAAGGGTGAACCTAAAGTTCAGGATTAAAATCAAACCTTAGAACGAACCAACCCACAGCAAATAAAAAATTGCGATTGTATTTAAGACAGTCTGAGGTTTCCTGATGGGACAAGGGGTGAGAGAAGTACATGACCTCACCACAAGATGGCGATTCAGTTCAACAGTTGGTTCAGCTGTTACAGATGAGAAGAAGAAAATATCATTTCTATAGCATCTCTCAAGATAAAAATCACGAGGCGCTTCACAAAAACAAAAACAAAAAAAAATGTAAAAATATAGAAAAGCATTTAGAAAATGTTTAAAATATATTTACAATGAGCAAAAATAAGCAATTGCGATTTAAAAGAAAAAATGTTAAGAAAGAGAGATAGTGAATAGGAAAGAGGGAAATCAGTGGATCCTGAGGAAGGTGGAATATGTTGGGAGAGCAGAATAAAGAGAGAGTGGTGAAGAAGGTCATACAAAAGCCAGCTTGAACAAGTGAGTCTTCAGCTGCTTTTTAAAGGAGACCACTGAGTCCACTGATCTCAGGCTCAGGGGGAGAGAGGTCCAGAGTCTAGGGGCCACAGCAGCAAATGATCTGTCACCTTGGTCTGTAGCCTGGTGCGTTGCCCAACCAGATGCACTCTAGAGTTTTGGAAAGACTTTAGTAGATGCATTATTTTACAGCTCTACAAGGGCTTCACTTTAAAATGGAAAATTATGTATTTTTGTTGCATGTACTTAAAAAAAGACGTATACTTTATTATAAATTTATTGGTTATTCTAGCTAAATTCTCTTTCCACAAACGCAAGTATCATAACCAAAAAACAAATTTTAAACACTATTAATGACATTCTATCCTATATAACATTGATTAGTGGATGGCTAAACAAAAGGGTTTAAAACTATCAATATTAGCGTGAGCTACAATTTTTTTGAATGTATGTAAGATTTCTACAGTGCACTCCCTGGCATACTGTATGTTCTTTGTTCAATAAAGTTCTAAGAAAAAAAACTAGAGTTTGGAACTATGCAGTGCTGAATTGTAAGTAACTTAAAATAAATGTATTTGATAAAATAAAGAAAATAATTGTGAATAATAGTAATAATAATAGGATAAAATTCACAAAGTTCTATGTAAACCTCTAGAATTAAGTTAAATCTAAAATACATTACATCAATAAAATATTAATATTGAAATCTAAGCATGGATGTGGTGATATAACCTAAATATCTAAATGCAAAATGGACGTAGCCTACCAAAACAATTGTGAAAAGATCTCCTCTAACATCTCAGAGGTCTTTTTTTTTTATCAGTGCTCCTGTCTGGGAGCTCACTGCATGTTGATACATGATCCCTGATTAAAGAGTCCACCAGGCAAGCTATCAGAGTCTGAGATGTTAGAAAGGGGCTCTCCTGACTTTTATTTTGACATGTGTCATTCATTCAGACAGTCTATAAATTGTTTACCATATATATTCTGTACCTTGATTATATAAATTTATGCTTTGACAGCCTGTCATTCATTTAATTATTCAGCCTATAATTTATTTGGATAGATATATATTTATTTTCAAACAGTCTGAACAGTCTTATTTCATTTCAGACAGTCTCATATTTATTTTTGTATAGTTCTCTATTTATTAAAATTAGATGACTTTTTAGTACACCTATCCTTTTTCCAGACAATCAATTTCTTTTCTTTGGGTCACTACCCAAAGCTCGTGACCATAGGTGAGGGTAAGAACGTAGATCGACCGGTAAATCGACGTCTTTGCCTTCCAGCTCAGCTCTCTCTTCACGACAGACCAGTACAACGCCCGCATCACTGCAGACGCAGCACAAATCTGCCTGTCGATCTCATGAACAAGACTCTGAGATACTTAAACTCCTCGGCTTGGGGCAGAACCCCATCCCTGACCCTGAGAAGGCATTCTACCCCTTTCCGACTCAAGACCATGGCCTCAGATTTAGAGGAGCCAATTTTCATCCCAACTGCTTCACACTTGGCTGCAAACCACTCTAGTGAGAGCCACAGATTGCGTTCTTATGAAGCCAACAGGACCACATCATCTGCAAAAAGCAGAGACTCAGTCCATAAGCCACCAAAGAGAATGCCCTCAATACTGGGCTGCGCCTAGAAATCCTGTCTATAAAAGTTATGAACAGAATCGGTGATAAAGGGCAGCCTTGGCGAAGTCCAACTCTCAATGGAAACAAGCCCCACTTACTGCCAGTAATGTGGACCAAGCTCTGACACCATTTACATAGTGAACTAAAAGCCCGTATCAGAGGGCCTGGTACTCCGAAGTACCAACCACAGCACCCCCCGAGGGACCCGGTCAAACACCTTCTCCAAATCTACAAAATACATGTAGATTGATTGGGCAAACTCCCATACACCCTCCAGGACCCACCTAATGGTATTGAGCTGGTCCAGTGTTCCACGGCCAGAATGGAAACCACATTACTGTTTCTAAATCCGAGGTTAGGCAAACCCTCCTCTCCAGAACCCCTGATCATACCTTACAAGGGAGGCTTGGGAGTGTGATCCCCCTGTAGTTGGAACACATCCTGCAGTCCCCCTTTTTAAATAGGGGACCACCACCCCAGCCTGCCAGCCCAGTGGAACTGCCCCGATGTCCACGCAATATTGCAGAGCCGCATTGGTTAACACAACTCTACAACATCTAGAACCTTAATCTCACCCAGAGCCTTGACATCGAGGAGCTTTTTGACCACCTCAGTGACCTCACCACCACAGATTGGTGAGCCCAATCCCAAGTCCTCAGATTCTGCCTCCTCACTGAAAGACCTGGACTGAGGAGGTCTTTGAAGTACTCCGCCCACCGATCCACAACATCCCGAGTAGAGGTCAGCAGCACACCATCACCACTGAAAACAGTGTTGGTAGCACACTACTTTCCTCTCCTGAGGTTCCAGATGGTAGACCAGAATCTCCTCAAAGCCATAAGGAAGTCTTGTTCCATGGTCTCACTGAACCTCTCCCACGCCCGGGTTTTTGACTTTGTAGCCGCCCGGGCCACATTACTCTTGGCCTGCCGGTACCCATCAGCTGCCTCTGTAGTCCCACAGGCCAAAAAGACCCAAAAGGACTCATTCTTCTGCTTGACTGCATCCCTAACAGTCGGTGTCCTTCAGCGGGTGACATGACGTTATTTGTTTGGGTCCATCTGTTGTAGGCTTCACCTAAACTCACTCTGGTTCTAGATCTTTTATGGTAGCTCCTCTTCTGAGAAGGATAATGACAATAAGCTGCTTGACTTGCGGAGTCCGCCATTTTCCAGGCTCGCTGTGCCAAGTAGACTGTTTAGCTGCCTGCAATGCTGCCCTCTATTGGCTGGTAGATGTAAACATAAACCCAATGTCGTGCCCGTCAACCAAATTTTTTATTATTTTTTTATTAAAATATGTACCTTCATTCTGCAAATCTCTAAACACCCCATGGAGGTATTATTTATATTCCATATTGAACCTTTAATGCACCAATAAGTGATTTGAAGACATACATAGAACATAATGTTTCTTACTTTTATTCTCAGTTCAGAAATGGGACTGTGGGGTTTTTGGTTGTGTGTATGTGTGTGTTTGTGTGTGTGTGTTTGCATTTGTGTGTGTTACCATCTCACCCTCAGTTTTCCCGACTCTAAAATGTCCTTACATCAGGCCAGGGTCAGAGTTTTCTTAAAGTTGTGCACATTTTCCTGTCAAGTTTTTATTATAAATCACAACATTTGGTAACACTTCCTTTTACAGTCCCCTAATTTCTAAGTACTTACATGGTAATTACATAGAAAGTTAAAGTGGATTATTGTTTCTGAGATCTTAAACAGTTATTTCCATGTAACTCAGGTTTAATTCTAGTTTTTGTTTTTATTAATCATTCCCAGTAAATACTGCTTTACACAATAATTACAATATTTTACAATTATACACTTTAATTACACAATAATACAATAATAAATGAATGTTTTAAGAAGATATTTAATACATGTTAAGGCTAAAGTCACAAAGACATAAAATATTTAATCTTTTCCTGCATTAATACAGCATTCTTATTTGTTTTGATTTGTTTTTGTTTCACTCCAGCCACTTCAGTGTAAACAAAAACCTTCACCACCTTCATCACAAAGCTCATTCCTTACAAATCAACATGTTTTAATAAGAATTGCACATTTGTTCAACTTTTCACCGGTGAAAGTTTGGTGGAAGTTTGATGTTGTAATTTATGCTAGGGGCACTGATGATCCATTATAACACATCACAGAATGTCAGAGATGTCCCTGATGAAACAAGAAACTTCCTGTTGTCAGTGGGCAGGATGAATGTGATGATGGAATATTGATATGTGGAGGACATTTTTACATTTGCAGTTGCAGATCAGATGATTTGAATTAAAGTCAAAGAAGAAATGCAAAAGTTTGAGGTTTACACCTGCACAACTCAAACTAGACTCATACTCAGAAACATGAAGGTACATTACAGAAAATGCCAAGAGGTTAGGATGCACATGTTTGTACATCATACATAGTCACGCAGGTTGAATTAATTCAGACAACTTTAAAACAGTATAAAAGGAAAATGTTGACTATGACTTTTTTCACATAGAAACAGATGTCAAAGGCTTAGTTTCTGCAAACATTTTTGTTTCCGAGTCCCACGCCACCCACACCGTCTCCCAGCCAAACAGAGTTCTCATGGAATGATGACATGTTGTGTCATGTGTACAGAAACAGAACAAGTGCTTTGAGTTTAATTCAGTCATGTGAAATCTGCTCAAAAATGAGATGCTTTCACTGTATTATTAATTGTTTCGCTCTCTGAAGGGAAAGAAAATGAGCAACATGTTCTCGGAAACTGGCCCAGATAAAATGCTGTATATGTAAACACAAACAGAATTTTAATGTGACATGATAACACAACGAGTGCATTTCTGAAGATACATTGTCTTCTACTGTCTTTTATGACTTTCTTTTGGACACGATACTGTGAACATGTTTTTTTATGGCTGCTGTTATACTTATTATTTTATTTGTGTGAAATTGGATTTTCCTCTTCTGCAGCACAGTTAACACAGATCTGGACATTTTTCCAGTTCTGTGCCCTTCCTCTGCTGTGCTGTTTGTTTTATTTTTGAACAAAACTGCATTTTCTTTGGTAATTTGACTTATTTTATCAGACTGAGGTTCAAATTTTGTTTGATTCAATGGCTGAGAGTACAAAATAAAACCAAAAGCATGCATTCATACAGGACCAGTCACTGAATGCTCATGTTAATCGTGATTTTGCTGATTTCACTACTTCCTTTTCTATTTTTACCGATCTTCTGCTATTACGACAGCCTTACTCCACAGTCCTCATCTTCATCACTCTCAGTTATGTCCACTTGGACTTGTGGGTCATTGTTGACCTCCACAAGCTCACGCCTGGAAGATTTGGAGTCCTGGCATATCACAGCCAGCCGATACAGGCTCAGAATGACCACCAGGAAATTCTTAACTGTAAAGAAAATAAGCATCTGGTGAAAAAGGCCGAAGTAAACCATGACGGTGATTCGGACCACCAGAAATGGGCCGTCCTGGATGAACAACGTCTCCACGATGTCCCACAGGTCAGTGCTGTATTCAGACACCAGCGACTCTTTACGGATACCATAGTTTTTCTCATCGATACTCTTGGAGTTCACCACTGTGCAAAGAAATAAAACAAACTGATTTGTTAGATAATCACAGCTGATTGTGTGTGTAGTTGGTGGTCTTATTTGCAACAGTGGTTCTGCTGCTTTTGACTGATTCGATCTCTACTTTTACTTGTTTTAAAGTGAATTAAAATTTTTGACTGTAAAATCAGGTGTTTTATTTTGTTACTGTTTAAATTCTTTGTTAAAGTATGCAAAATCTTATAATTGAAGTTAAAGTTGCTTTACATGATACAAACTATTAAAAGCAAATGGTTTTGTTTTAAACATTAGCAAATAAAGACAATAAAACTTGGAATGTGGTCCACAGCTGGAATAATGAAAACAATAAAAACACATCATTTGTGAAATGCCAAGCTTTCTTTTTCTGAACTATGTAATGGATAAATTAAATTAAATTTGATTTGTCTTATTTATTGGACCCTTGCAAACTTACAGTGGGACCATTTGCTGGGACAAAAGGACAAATTACACCCCCATCTCTGTGAAGCCTTGTCTTCAGTATTTGGCTTCACACCCCTACCATTCTTTCTCAGATAACACTAAAGCGTGCCACACACAAGAGCAAACTACTGAGCAAACGGCCTTGAATGACCGTTTGCTCAGATATCTCACTGTTTGCGCCTGATTTTCACTGAGTTTTCATCCTCACGAGACGCTGAGGTGAATATCTGACCGGTTTGATATTTTTTGCCTCACTTTGGCAAAAACTCGCCGTGTGTGCATTACGTGAGCTGCTGGCGGAGCGGAAATATTCTAGTGGCCAATCAAAGCGCGGTCACATAGATTTGACTGGTTTTTCTAATCCAAGAGTTTCCCTATCTATTTTCTATCAGCTGGTAATGTAGAAATTAGGGGTAGAAGACCATTTCACATTCAGCCTGCATGGGAAACTCAGAGTGACCAATCAGTAGAAGTAAAAAACCTTTTCTAAGTGAACTTACTCTTTAAGATGTATTTTAAAGATATAAAAGTAGGGAGCAGCAGGGGAAGTTGTTCCCTCCTGCCCCCTCACTCCCGTCACTTCGCTTCCACAGAACTTGATGACGATTTCTGTATTTTGATTTTGATCTTGAAGTTCCTTTAGAGATTTGGCTGTTACTTGTGATGACTTTTAGGTTGTTTTTGTCGTTGCACTGTTCTGGTTAATCATCTTGCACTGAGTCATGCCATATGTCAGGAAGGGTCCCAGACAAAGTTGTGTCTACGTTAGAAATACTCAGAAGAGTTACAGTCATTCTTCCTTTTTTTGATCTGTAAATAGATTAACGCTTAAGTTGTATAGAGGCTTTCTGAAGCACAAAGACAGAGTTTGGTCATTTAGAAGCATTTTTCTTTCTTTGGCATCAGATAATTTTCATCAGCAAAGTGTTAACAGCAGAAAATATGAGAAATTCTCGTCTGTCCTGCTGTCCACTGAGAACACGACCACAAATTCCAGACCTTCTGTTGAGACAATTTCTGTGAGAACGAGACAGATCCTCTGATGTCTGAACAAAATATTAAACAACAAACGTTGTGTTTACAAGATAATAAAACTAAACCTGTCTATGAAAAGATAAATGCATGCCAGAAGATGCAAACATGCATTAATGCAATCACTTGAAATATTAATTTTGATTATTAATGGGCTCCTTTAATTCTCTCTTTGCTCCTTCCCTCTTCAGGAAGTTGATGTTCCCTCTTGGTGAGTCACAGCTTCAGAAACAAGCAGATTTTTCTGGAATTAAACATGTGACATTAATGGAGAAAGCAGCTGGTTTCTTTAAGACACAGCTTGCACAATTTGACTGGTTTTGTCTAATAACATTGAGTTTGTCCCACATTGCTGTAAATTACTCCATAAGGAGGAAAGATGTGCTTTACAACAGAAAGGCAGAGACTGACCTCCAAAATGACAGGGAAACTGCAGCATGCTCCACGTCCACACGGCCAAGATGATGTAGACCATAATAGGACTGTTGTCTTTACTAACAAAGACAGAGAAACATTCAGAAAACTTCACTCACTAATATGAGACAGCAGCATGCATCCTTCTTAACAGTACATCTAAAGATGCCCTAGAAAGGTTTTTTACAACAGGAAACTGTTCTTTGAGCCTCTATAGCAGGGCTATTCGAGTCCAGGCCTCCAGGGTCAGTATCCATCATGTTTTACTGGTTTCTCTGGTCCAACACTCTAGATTCGGTGGTTGAGTTACCTGTGCAGCTGCTCATCAGGCTCTTTGGAACCCTATTAATCGCCTACTGATTGAAATGAGGCATGTTGAAGCAGGGTTAAAACTAAACCGTGCTGGATATCGGTCTTCGAGGTCCGGAATGAATAGCCCTGCTCTATAGCATAAAACCTGGTCTAGGAGCCCTGATAAATAGCCAAACACAATCCCATAATAAAGCCCTACAATGGTGTTACAACCCCAGGGGTAAACCCGCACACCTTCCTGCCAGCTTACCACATTGCTGCCTTTCAGCTCTGTTATTTTCCAGTTATTTTCCTGTCGGGTTCAGCTTCTTCTTCTTCTTCTTCTTCTTCTTCTTCTTCTTCACTGGATAAGGCAGGCTGGACGCCTCGTGGCGTATTGCTGCCACAACAACATTATGCCCACTGCTAAACCCGTCTATGTCCTAACATATACTCCGACTGCTCGCAGAAAACGTAGCAACACCTTCACCCTGCGCCACTCCACCACCTCCAGTAAAGTCCTCAGACTGAACACAGTCACCCCCAATTCACTCAAAGCCACAAATAAAGAGTGCCACTTCACCGCATATCGGCCACACCTCAGAAGAACATGCCCTACCATCTCCAGATCTCCACACTCACACCTACCAGTCGAGTGCCTACCAATCAGAAACAACCCCTCCCTCAAGCACCAATGTCCGTAGTCTGGTCATGACTACAAAGTCTCATCTCCTACGGAAAATATCCCACCCACGACCACCCACCCGTCTCTGCAAAGCAAAATAGGACCGCCCAGTGCTCCCCTCATCCCAGGAGGCCTGCCACAACCTCATAGCCTCCTGACCAATTGCAGATCGACACTCCGGAGGCCCCAACTCCACCCCCAACTCCACAACCTGCCTCCCCAGTGCATCTTTAGCCTCAGCATCCGCCCGTTCGTTACCCTCCACCCCCACATGCGCGGGAACCCAGACAAAACACACCTCGCAGCCCTCATCACCCAACCGTTGCAACGCCATCTTGACAGAAGCCAGCAAGTGCGGTCGAGACCCGGAGCTCTGTCCCACCAGTGCTTGCAGGGCCATCGCCGAGTCAGAGCACATAACGGACCGAGGTGGAGCATGCTCCCCCATCCAATGTAGAGCACACATAATAGCCACCAGCTCAGCCGTAAACATTGAACAGCCATCCAGAAGCCGGCAGCCACAGCTGTAGCCCAGACTCTGAACCACCAACCCCACCCACACTCTACCACTTACTGGGTCCTTCGAGCCATCTGTAAACAACTGCAAATAAGATCCCCAATCCGTATCCAGAAAACCCATAAAATCATCAGCCCTCCCAACAGCCCGGCCTTGACCCAAGAAGGAAAAATCTACCTCAGGTTCAGGCAATATCCAGGGCGGAACCTCAGTTCAAACCAAATGAGAACTCACAGGCCACCGGAGAAAGCCCAATTTCCCCTCCCATCTCCTCAGAAGATCCGGGAAACCACCCCCAACTCCTCTAACCGACCCCTCGAATTCCCAGTGTTGGCTCAACAATGCCTTCGCAGGGTCTGACTCCCCCATGCCCTTAAACCGCAGCAGGTAACGGAGCCCCAGTTTGACCCACCGAAACTCCAACGGGATAACTCCAGCTTCAACAAGGAGGGCTGCCACCGGGGACGACCGAAATGCCCCAGTACACACCCTCATAGCCGCTGCCAGCAACACATCCAGCTGCTTCAGGGTCGAAGGCGCAGCCGAACCATACAGGAAACTCCCGTAATCCAAGGCCAACCTGATCATACCCTCATAAACCAACATCAAAGTGGCTCAGTTCACCCCCCAGTCCGACCCAGCCAGACACCTCATTACATTTAGAATGCGGCCACACCTGGTCACCAAGCCCCGCAAATGCACTCTTCACGTCAGTCTCTCATCCAACCACATGCCCAAATACCTACACACTGACATCCGTTCCAAGTCCTGCCCCTCCAACCGCAGCCCCACCTCAGGACCCTTCTTCTCAAAACCAAAAACCATATATTTAGTCTTGGTAGGGGACAACGCAAAGCCCCAGCATCTCGCCCAAGATACCACACCGTCCAAACTCTCCTGCAGCTTACGAAAATCATAACGAAGATTTCGACCATGCTTCAAGAAAGCCCCATCATCCGCAAACAGCGATTGTCCCACTTCACCACCCAAGGAGCCAAACAGACCGTTGATTAGGACATTGAATAAAACTGGGCTGATCACACTGCCCTGTGGAACCCCATTTTCCACCCCGACCGACTCGGAAAGCACCGAACCCACCCTTACCTGGAGCGTTCTATCACTTAGGAAGCCCCTGATCCACTGCCACATCCTCCCCCACACCCCAGCCCTGTACAGAGACACCAGCAGCCCATCCCTCCACAGCATGCCATATGCCTTCTTTATATCCAGGAACACAGCCAACACCACCTCCTTATTCTCCAAAGCCCACCTGACTTCCAGATCCAGGGGTGCTACCGCATCCATAGTGGAACGCTCCTGCCAGGACGCAGCTGGAGTATTTGAGCCATTACCGCTACGTCCTCTCTGCTCATGGAATGCCCGCAAAGCTGAGTCCATAAATGACGTAATATATGTAGATACTGGATCTTTTTTCAGGCTTCCCGCAATTTGAATTTTTAGGAAACCCACATAAAAATGCATTGTAATTACCGAGTTACTGACAATTGTACTGAGTAAATATTACCATTTTCTTTCCCTGTAATGCCTTACATTACCACATTACAGCAAAAAGCAATGCATTACAGTAGTTAATTACTGTTGTACCGCGTTACTCCCAACACTGTGCACCGTCTTCTGGAAATTCATGCCTTATTCTGGAGACAGAACATGGTACATTACACCCCCAAGCTGCCTATATTCAACAGCAACTAGATCAATGGGCTTTTAAACTCTAGGACACTAAAAAAATAGAGAGCGATAAAAACAAAGCAAACTGTGAAACTACTTGAGATCGTCCAGCGTCTCACTGGTAAACTCCAGGATGTCTGCTGCTGTTCCTACGAAGATGAGCAGAAGCTGAGCCAGCTGGTCTCTTGTGACTCCATCTCCTAAAGGGAGAAGCCACTTCCCTATAATGAGGAGGATGAGCAGGATCTGATGAAGAGCCAAGATCCAATTGTTTGGGCAGAACGCCTCATTCACATTCTGAAAGAGAGCAGAAAAAACATGTTTGCTGAGAAAGTTTTAAGGATTTTGTCAATTCTTTCAGGTCAGGGTTCAAATCTGTAAACTTTTACATTTTTCTGTAAGTGTAAAATACTCAACTCTCAAGTCTTTATGAAGCAGTTACCAGAAAACATCTGCAGTGTGGAGGTCATAAAGTGTTGGATGGGCTCAGATTTTTATGTGACCACAGTTGCAACCATGTGGTAACATTTTTGTACTCTGCTCATTCATATGATCTCCGTGTGTTTGACAATATCAGACAAATATTGTCAAATGTTGTCTTTTTCTAGACAGAAAGACATCAATGTCTTCAGAGATCTGAACCAGGACATGTCTGAGCTTCCGGACACTCTGTGGTGCAACTTGACAGCTTTAGGTTAACGGAAAAGAGGCGTCCCAGAGGTGTTTCATCGTATTTAGGTCAAGTGAGCATGACGGCAAGTCAATGGTGCCAATTCCTTCATGCTCCGGAAACACTCACCAGACTCTGTGCACCAGGATCACCCTGGGAAACAATGGATCAGTGTATGGGAATTGGTCTAAGGATTGATTTCCCTCTTATACTTATTGGCAGTAAGGGCTTTGTTGTCCTGCCTGTGGAGGTCTGTATGCTCCTCCATGGATGTGCCACTCCAGCGTAGCAAGCTCCGTGACTTTTCCGGACCTTTTCACATTTATCACATGTGCTTAGGGTGAGCCTGCTCTCCTTCAGACCCTCATATAACCTGTTTCTGATTGTCTAGTTCGAGAAATTATACCAGAAGTACAAAACAGCAGACATCAGTCCTAGTGATGACTTAAGGACCTTCTCTGGCCCTGTCCAGCTCTTAGTCTCCTGGCATCTCCTCCATGCTCTTGAACCTGCGCTGGAAGACACTGCAAACAATCTATACTGGCTGATACACACTTAAAGGTAGAAATGAGAACTTTACAGCTACTGTGCATTTTTTAAATTGTCCTTTAATCACAGCTTGCTATCTCCTGCTTCACTATAGCTAAGCATCACTCTAAGGTGCACCTGCAGAACCAAGAGACTGTACAATCCTACCTGACAATATCCCTAATAAATGTCTCAATAACAAATAACATATTGCATATATGCAAAAATTAAGATGACATTATGTCAGTAAAATCTGTCCAAATTGCCCTTCTACAATAGCTCTTCTTTAAATAACTAAAATACCCTAAAAACAGGATATGAAAGCAACGACTCACTGAAAGACTACCTATAAGGATATCCTGTTGGCTTTAGACCTCCATTAGTCATTAGCCATTTTCTGTTTAGCTGAGCTCTTTGTCTGTAAACCTAAGACGATGACCAATCTCCCAGTTTACACAACATGCCCAAAATGGCAACTTAAAATGAACTAAATTCTGTAGCATAATGAATTTAGCAAAAAAATAAAAATAAATAAGTGCACGTAGAGGCAGATTTTTAAGTTTAACACCAATCACACAACAATTAGAGTCCACTTTAGTGTGTGTAATTGACCCTCGGATTGCACCATAGATGCTTATTTTTCTGCAATTAGGAATACAATCTTTTTGAAGGTAAAGCAATCATTTTTGGGAGGGAAACTGTGGTAAAATAGCAAAAATACTGTTAAAACTCTCAGCTCTAATGATGTTTGACACATTTTCATGCAAATTTTTAAATACTTTGATCCTGAGCTTTATTTACTCATTTTGTTATCCATCCGTCTTGTTTATCAAGCAATTTATTCATAAATGTCCTTAAACAATAAGTTCCACACTACCTTCTAAAGCTATGGGGGAAAGAATTCCCTTTGCAAACTGTCCAACACATTGTTAAAAGACATGTGTACTGGAACGGGGCTTTTACCGGTTCTTTGTCAAGAGTCAACAGGTTCTTCCTTTCATTCACTTCAACTCAGAGTAGATTTTATTGCATTGTGCATCTTATTAGGCCCGAGCAGCGTAAGCGCTGCCAAGGCCTATTGTTTTTCTAATGTTTATTTTTATTCTGCCAAGTAAGTTGGCTTTTTGGAGGCCCTAACATACCCGAAAACTCAGAAATTTTTGCAACACATGTCAGGCGTGGTGTAAAATTTTGTACTTTAAAGGTCCCCAAAAAATCGCAATAAAACTAGCTCCACAGCGCCCCCTAGAATGTGAAAAATACCCCCTCCATAAAACTTAGTTTGTCGTACAGTTATGAAATGTTGTACACTTGTGGTACTCACCAGCCCGCACAGAAAACCCTCTTGCAACCATGGTCAACATCAAACAGGAAGTCTGCCATTTTGGTTTGAAGTGGTGATTTTGACCCCGTTTTTGTCATAGTCTGCATCTGCGTCTCCCCTCATGTGTCTCCTTGTGTTCTCCATCCCTCTCTAGGTTCTCCTTTTGTGTCTCCTAGCGCCCTCATGTGTCCTTGTCTGCGTCTTCCACATGTGTCTCCTGGTGTTCTCCATTTTCCCCCAGATCTTCAGCCCTCTAGGTTTCCCTCCTCAGATATCCCCCTCCCAGGTCCTGTGCTCCTGTGGCCCCCTTTAGTTATGCCCCCGTAGTTTTTCTTTCTGTAGTGTTTTTCCTTTAGTTTCAGCTCCCCCGTTAGTATATTAGTTATGTTTGCTGCCCTTCTGGTCTTTAGGTTTTTCTCTTAGGTCATTTTCCTTTAGCTACAGCTGTTCATGTTATTAGTCTCTCTAGTGTGTTTTCCCCATCGGTGTTTGAGGTTCCCCCCTTAGATTATTAGTTATGCTTCCTGCTCTTCTTGTCTTTAGGTTTTATTCTTAGGTCATGTTAGTTTCCTCCCTGATTTGTAATTGAGTTCACCTGGTCTCTCTCTCCCCACGCACCTGCAGTTCATCTCCCTCTCATCCTCTCCTGTGTATTAAACCCTGTCTGTGTCTCAATGTTTTGTCAGTCCATTGTTTTGTGTCAGCGTTGTTTTGTGCCTCGTCATTAGGTCTCTAGGTTTTTGTGCTCTTTAAATGAGCTTTTTGTCTCCAGGGTTTCAGGACATTGGTTTTTGGCTTCCTGCCCTTTTGGAACATTTTTGTTGTCCTTCCTAATAAAGGAATGTTTTCATTTACATCCACTCCTGCCTCATGTCGTTCTGGGTGTCTGCATATTGGGTCCAAACCTCCTCCAGGCTCTCAACGTGACAGTTTTGGCCATTTCTAGGGTCCGCTTCTGATAGATTTACTCAATAATTTTTCGCACGATCATCTCAAAAGTTGTGGGAAATTGCTCAGATGGGATGGGTGATCAAATAGAAAAAATAAAACTGACTTTTTGTGTATGCTGAGGGGGCGTGGCCAGGCCTCGAAGTTCGACTACTTGCCAAAAATATATAAATGGCTATAACTTCATACCCAAATAGAGTAGACTTATAAAAATTTCTGTGGTCATTCATCATCCACCCATAAACTAAATCGGATGATGACATCACACAAGCCCCGCCCCCTCATCACCAAAAAGGTCAAGTTTTACTGTGATAGTTCCCAAATCACCCCATTTCACTTAATCACCACAAATTTGTAGATGGTAACTCAAGACAAGTGGGGTTGCTTGCCATCACTTTATGGGAGCTTTCAACAGAGGGCGGGGCTGTGGCGGCAGGGCTGTGGCGGCAGGGCTGTGGCAGCGCGGCGAAGTCAGGCGTACGCCGTGGCCATACGTTTGCCTCCTATTTCGTCATTTCTAAAGATATCCCCACAAAACTTCTGGTGAGCGATACTAGTCCGGCCCCCAAAAAGTCTGATGTGAAAATCCGGTGTGCGTGGCCTATTTTCTGAAATAGCGCCCCCTAGGACCATTAAAACTGTCAGCCCCAAGCCATGCTTTAACTGAGGATTACGAAATTTAGTACACTAATGTAGTGTGTCACGACATGCAGGTGAGTTGAGCCGGAGTTGAGGATCCACATGCAGGGGAAGAAGCAGACAGGCAGGCAAACTGGAATGTCAAAAGAGTCTTTAATTACACAGAGCACGCAGGACATAGAAACAATGAACCAACAAGACACACAGAACAGAGAGGGTTTAAATATGTGAGGAGCTGGGAGATTGGGTGATTGGGTGACGAGAGGCAGGTGGGAGCAATTAACAGGGGCACTGAACAGAACAGGGAGACAGGACAGAGTGTGACATAGTGTCTCAGGATCTACAAAAAAGTCTCCTGGAGCAAAACGCAATGTCGCACAGGAGGTCGGCCATTTTCGTCCAAGTACTCGATTTACGTTGTTTGGAGAATGATGCCCCATCGCCCTTTTCACCGATTGCCTTCAAACCTCTGCTATAAACTCTAAAGACATACGGGGGAAAATTCAACCATCAGATTTTTCAAAAGTTGAAAGGTGTGGGTGTGGCTAAGCCTCAAACTTTGACCGGTCACCACGCCACTGTTTTTTTCACAGCTCCCCAATGGACTCTTTTTACCCAATAACCAGCAATCTCTGGCAAATTGCAGTAGACAAGTTGAGGTCACTTGGTCTCCAGTACTGGCAGGTTTTGAAAAAAGGCGGGGCTTTGGGAGCATGGCGAAATTCGCCATCACGCCATGAACATACGTTTGACTCTCATATCCACAGTTATTGTGTTATCGCCACAAAATTTCTGGTTAGTGATCCTAGTCTAACCCCTAATTGAAATGGATAGGAGAAGTTGATGGGCGTGGCCTATTTTCTGAAATAGCGCCCCTAGGACCATTAAAACTGTCAGCCCCAAGCCATGCTTTGACTGAGGATTACAAAATTTGGTACACTAACGTAGTGTCTTAGGACCTACAAAAAAGTCTCTTGGAGCCAGCGCAAAGTCGCACGGGAGGTTGGCCATTTTGGTCCCAGTACTCGATTTAGTGGTTTTCACACATGTTGTTTGGAGAGTGATGCCCTGTCGCCCTTTTCAATGATTGTCTTCAAACTTCTGCTATATACTCTTAAGACATAGGGGAAACAGTTCAACCGTCTGACTTTTCAAAAGTTGAAAGGTGTGGGCGTGGCTAAGCCTCAAACTTTGACCTTTCGCCACTACATTACTTGATGTAATAACTCCCATGTGCATGATCAGGTTGTTTGATTGATGCCAAATTAACAGAAAACCATCTTTGATGACCATAGATGACCTCTATGGGATTTAGTTGCAAATGGTCACAGCGCCCCTAGATAGGTTCAAACTTTATTAACTTCTAACGACAAGGTCAGAATGGCAATATACTTGGCTTGTGTCATCACGTGACTGCACCAAACACATTGATGTGGTTGTTGGCTCAAACCCCATTAGCTCCACCCCCTTTTGGCTATCTGGCTCTACATAACACACACAACGTCTGATTGATGCCAAACTACTACAAAACCATCTTTGACTCCCTAAGAGGACCTCAATGGGATTTTTATGTAATTGGTCACAGTGCCCCCTAGATAAGATTACAAGTTAATTACTTCCTAATGAAAGGTCAGAATGTCATTAAACTTGGCTTGTGTCATCACATGACTGCACCAAACACATTGATGTGGTTGTTGGCTCAAACCCCTTTAGCTCCACCCCCTTTCGGCTCTCTGGCTCTAGATAACACACACAACGTCTGATTGATGCCAAAATAACAGAAAGCCATCTTTGTCAACCAAAGCTGATTTCAATGGGATTTTTCTGTATTTGGTCACAGCACCCCTAGATAACTTCAACCTTGAATAACTTCAAAAAACGTCATCAGAATAGCATTAAACTTTTTCTGTATCACACCACTGGTGTGGTGAAGATAGAGTATCCCCTATTGGTGAGATGTGTAATTTAATGGTGGGCTTAGAGGAGATGCTGAGTAAGGTTGAGGTGCAGATGAGGAGAATGTTCACGGTTTCTGGTGTCGGTGTGGTCGACGTTTCTGTTCCGCGGACGTGCCCGGGTGCCCCGGGCTGCTGGCCAGGCCGGAGCGACTCGGAGCTGTGAGGGCCGAACGACACTGCTTGCAACTTTAATTTTTCTTGTATTCATTTGCTAAAAGTCTGAATTTACACTTAACATAAATACATATGAGACATAATATACAAAAGCTCACCTTTTGCATAATTTTGAGGGTCTCTACAGCCTCTATAAACACTCCATATTTGAAAATAACTTTCACCCATTTTCTATCAGTGTTTGGTGTTAGGAATTATGTGTCTAAAACAAGACGTTTCAAAAAGTTCCCATTTGTGATGTCATAAGCAGGGGACTTAGACTATAACCACCACTCCAATGCAAGAGAGAACTGCTGCTGGAGGAGCAGTGACTCTACTCCAAGCCCCTCCCAAACATCTGAGCTTCTCAGCAGCCTTAGTGGGGGATGAGTGGGCGTGACCAATGCCAGCTTGTTGTTCTTGAAGTAGCAGAGCCCTGAAACAACTCATTCTGGAAGGTACTGAAACTGTCAAGCGTAAAAATGCTAAAATCACTTCACATGAGAGGGATTTTGTGCAAAGAATTTCAAAAAATGTTTTATACAGACAATAGAAATATTCTAACTTAAGAGAAAAATCATAATATGTCTCATTTTTAAAAATCCAAACTATTTTTTTATAAAATTTATCAGGATAGTCTTTATATAACAACATAATTAAGGCAAAGGAAAAGAACATCATTTTATTAAGACTGACAACTCTTTATAATGTGTTTAAGCAACATCTGAAAATAAAATCATGACTGATTTTTTTTCTTGCTAATATATGAGCGTGCAAACTTTAAATTGCACACAAACCAGACGCTGCATCCACTGACTCCATTGCTCATAGAATACATGCATACAGTATATGTTTCACTTCCTCAAATGTGTTCTGTTGCCTTTTGCAAATGGTTGGCAAACCCACCTAAAAATAATCAACCTTTTTTAATCATCCAACTGACGTTTAAGTTGATTCATAGTGATTGTTTTTATTTATTTATTTATTTATTTTTGCAATAAGAGGGAATTAAATTTTCAGTCTCTTACCTTTGTTATGTCACCAGGGAGGTTTTGTAAACTTGTGTTCGGGCGGATAATCCTGTCCAAACTCTTTGCATAATCTGTACGGTTACACTGAAGGCAAAGAAGAGAAGATTTCATAAAATTTTAGAGCAATTTGTTTTTTTGTTTTGTTTTTTAACAGTTTGCAGAAATCAAGTTTGGAAATTCAAAGATGCAAAAACTTCAGAAATCATCAACCAACATTAAATCAGAACATAAGAAAAGCTGGTTTAGGCACTTTACCTGGTTGTCTGCATCTTTGTTCTCCTGGTGGTGAAGCTCCAGGATCCAGATGGAGGGAATGATACTTATAAGGAATAAAAAGATTGTGGGAGAAAACCTGCACAAAAAACAGTTTATCCACCTTAATTTGAAAATATTTATGCAGTTTATATTCATCAGAGCTGAGACAATATGCTTTAAAAACTGCTAACAGATTAAAATAATTAGATTAATGTATATCAAACATGAATATTCCCTAATTTTTCTTATTTTTAACCTCTTTGTTGTTAAAAAATAACTCCTGGTTTCATAATGCAATCATTGTGAGAGCAGGAAAGTTTCAATTTTCTCTCCACACACACACACACACACACACACACCAACCATAAACTCCTACATGGCTTAATTAATAATTACATAGAGCAACTGATTACTTACTTTCCCTCATTTTTGACCGCTGACATTGAATTAGCTTGTACTGAATTTTATTGTTAAACCAGAAAGGAATTTCTACGCATAACAAATAATTATAGAGGATGTCTGGAGTTTGATTTTCAAGGAACAAAAAAGCAGTTTCATGTTGCTGCCTCGGGAAAAATACAAGCAGGAAAGCAGGAAAGCAGGATATGGGGGTGCAGAGAGGAGGGGCGGCAGAGGTCTAAAAGTGCAAATTTAACAGTGAAACATGTAAACAACATGTTAAATAAAGAGCTCGACACATGCACAAAAACATGCAACATGCAGAATCTGTTTTACCATTTGTAATCCTTCCCATCCTGGCGCCTCAGGGTGATGATCATTTCAATCATCAGCGGCAAAAAAAGGAGCGTCAGGAGCCAGTAATAGTTGTTGTCTTGGACCCACACCACTCTGAAGACTGCGATCAGAGAGACCAGGATGAATAAAAATCTGGTGATGACCGCACTCAGAAAGCTGAACAGGCACATCTTGCTGACTGCTTGTAGGCTCCTGGAGGTTCTGTTGTGACTTGCTCCGGCACACTGACTCAACAAAGTGAAGTCCCAAAACTTGTATCTCCGCCTTGTCTACTTTCTGTTTTTTTCCCACAGATGATAGCTCAGATAAAGGGGCGTGTAATCTGAGCTGTGTCAGAAAGCCCATATAGGACCCTTGTGTTTTTCTTCTTTGTGATGTCTGTTGGACATTATGACTTCACCACATCTCCAGATCATTTCAGCAGGAAGAGCATCACAAAGAAAAACACATCCTGAGGTTTCTTTTTACTACTAGAGGAAAAATTATGCCATCCACTGGAGCCTGTGGTGAAGAAACGTTCATGTTATTTTAATGTAAATGGCACAAGAGTTTAATATTTTATTATCCAGCAGGAACAATAAAAACGACTTCCTATTTTACAGATTATATGTTTGAGAAGAAAACTGCATAAAGAATTAATATTTAATTAATATCGTCAGGTAAATGAAAAATTTATCAAATCCGCAACCTCTCTATGTTTTACTTGATGTGGCGATTTCTAATGATGGTGTTGAACTGATGTGTTGAACTAATATTGTTGTGTTTAGAATAAAATGAAACTCAAATCCTGACTCCAGAGTCCTGGACCGTATCTTGGCTGAGTTTGGATGAGAGCTCAGCAGGACTTTGGATAACTTGGCAGTTCTTCACACAGAGAAAAAACAATCGTTCACCCAAATTCAACAAGCCTGCAATTTATTTATTTGTTTGTTTGTTTATTTTTATTTATTCTTTTTTTAACTGAAAAAACAGAACACCTGGAGAAAACCCTTCGGATAATTATTGTGATTTCATTCAGAGGAGGTTTGCAAAATATTAGCATTGCAAACTTTTACTTTTCTTGAAAAAATACTACTTTTACAGCTGTGAAAATAAAAGTCAGTAGTAGGCAAACAAACCCCTAAACACATTTGAATTTCCCAAAAGTGTGTATTTTTTCAAGCTCTTGCTGAGGACAGAGCTCTGCTTTTGCAGCTCGCTTTATGGCTTCCTGGTGCATTCAAGTCCTGTCGTAGCAGAATGTAAAGCATAAAAACAAACTTTACCTGAAAAACAACTTTCTCCTGATTACTCTCAGTCTGATTGAACATTTTTTCATTCACTCTGCAGAAAACGCTTCGTGCTTTCTGATGAAACCCCTCGGACACAAATATATTTCTGAAAGCTTTAGCTGACGCATACTTGGCTGCAAGCTGGTTTATTTTGTGTTGAAGTCACTCGGGTCCTTTAGTGCAGCGGGGAGGAAAGGGCAGGAAGAAGACCCAGGAAAGGAGATCAGTGTTTCGCTTCCTGTCTTTGTTCCTAATCTTTGTTCCCAATCTCCACTCATTATGCTGCAGCTTGCATTGCACACTTCAAATCAAAATAAGAATTTCAGACTGAAGAAGAGTTTGAAAGATAAATATGGCTGCATGGGGGGGATTCTTGGAGATAATTAAGTGTAGAAAAAAGAAACATGAGAAGAGATGGAAATGATAATAAAAGAGATTGATGATTCCAGAACAGTAAATATAAACATCAACAATATTATAATAATCAGGAAAATGCTTGTCTTTTGGGTGCAGAAACATGAAAAATGGAGCGTTTATGAACAATCACAAGGGTCAGCTGCGTCCTGGGAAACATTTTGTGGCTCAGAGAGGCCAATCGGATGAACATACATCCTTGAACAACACCTCAAATACACCAGATTTCTTCTTATGTGACAAGCTCTCCAAATGTTAGCAAAACAGATTTGATTCCTTGTGCAATTGCTGTTTTGCAACACAGAAAAATAATGTTAATGTTCTGGAGTTATTGAATGTTATTGTTATTTCTGTTTGTTATTTTACATCATGTATTGCACATTTTCTATTTTATTCATTTATTTTTCACTCAGAAACATCATTATTTTATCTACACGCTGCAACAATGTGAAGTCTCCAATTTTTCATTCATTCAGCTTTTCGTTCAGCTGTCACCCATTTTTGTCAAGACCATTAAAGGCCAGCAGGTGGCACTCAATTCCAGCGTTTCCAGCAGGAGATGAGCTAAGTGATATCAATCTCACATTTTTGACATAAAAATCAACAGACCAGGAAAAGCAGCAGATGTTTGATTACAGCTACAAACAGTACTCTATTTTAAATCAAATACTTTACATTTACATTTTAACACCGTCAGCATTCATATTTTACAGAATATTATTTATTTTGTCCAAATCTGAGTTCATCGTCCCACTTTTTCTTAATTCAGCAGCAGCTGCGTTCATTTTAAAGCTGAGTCAAGAACAGCACAAGTGGGTGTTTCCCCAAATAAGAGCTTTCCTGAAACATCACAGGTGGTTAAACACAAATCTGACCTGGAATCTTTCCCTTCAACTAAAAGAAAAAATCCTGTTTCAGCTCAGAGCCCCGGAGAGTCACACATGTCAGGCATTTGCATGGGAAAAATTGGACTTAAATGGGTAACACATGACTCTTCTGTCTCAGGCCTGACAGCTGCAACAAGCCAAGCCATTATTGGACAAATATGACTCGCCTCAGAACAGAGCAGCTCTTCAAACGCTTTCCCAACGTGGAATCTTTGACGTAAGCCAAAAAATAAAGAGATATTGAAGCAGATTTAAAGTGAAACATATTGAGTTACACTTAAAGCGTTTTCATTTCCCTTTCACTGGCTGGATTTTATTTTTCTTTCTCTGAACTTAACCTGACAACTGTTATAAATTCTGCATTAGCAATCAAAACAAAAGGCTATTATGCAGCTCAGGGCTGGCCTCTGGTTGTTACTCGGCTCGTATTCCCGGTACAGTAAACAGCCCACAGATGTTGTACATTGATATTAACAACCTTAATTTGTCCTGTGCTGGAAAAGGCCGTGCACGGCGCGGGGATTAAGTTCTCAGCTGTGTATCACACACAGCACAGACACCAATCTCATTTAGCTTGAGCGAAGTTTACAGTGAGTGGGTTTTGCATAGGTCATTAGTTGTCTCAAAATATCCTCCTTGTCACCATAGCAACTTCTAGTGACTGCTAAATTGCCTTTTAACATTGGATAAATTTTTAATGCTCAGAGAGCTGTGTGTGTGTGTGTGTGTGTGTGTGTGTGTGTGTGTGTGTGTGTGTGTGTGTGTGTGTGTGTGTGTGTGTGTGTGTGTGTGTGTACTCAAATTCTGAGTTGCAAGACTCTAATGGAAAAATCTGCAGATGTTATTCACATTTGAAAAATGTACTCTCTTGATTCATGATGAATTAAAAAGATCCTAATGGCTGAAGCTGTGGCTCGTACGACATTCATATCACTGGATTCTGATGTTTATTAGTAACAAAACATTCTCACAGCCCAGACAAGACAGTGATGCACCTCAGATAATTGAGCTCTTTTTCCTTTAAGCATTGCTGTTTCCCTCCGTGCGTGATTGCAAACAGAATATTGCACAAACCAGGACTTTAATATTCCAACGAAGTTTCAAATCATCATAAAAAGTTACGTTTTGCAGATATTCAGCTACAAATACAAATGTCTGGAGCTGAGAGTCTCCCTCAACACACAGCTAACAGATCATGAGATAATTTGAGATTTAGAGTGCAATAACTTAGATTATTGACAGATTATAACTCCATCATTTCTCATTATAAATTGATCTTAGTTTCAAACACTTCCTTGTAATTCTGACAAAGAAGGAGGTTGTGCTGCGGCACACAGACGATAACCGGAGGTCAATTTCTCCACCCCCACTGATGGTTTGACTACTGACGGGTGTTTGTCACATACAAATGTTTAGTGCGGGGATCAGGTTATTAATGTGTTCCTTTAGAGAAGGAACTCTGACCTTTGTTGCTCCAAAAAGAAAACAGATTTTTATTCATTTATTTGCTTTTTTCAGCCTCAGTGGTGTTCGACTCGCTCCTTGAACTGAATGGATCCATAACTCACAAGCAGCCATAACTCAATCTAACAAATGCCTTTTCAATCACTCCCATCTTTTATAGTTATACCCATTGCACATTTCCATAAATGCATTATTCATGGTCCTAATCCTAGTTTCAGATGAGAAGATATAAAACGAACGTGTATGTGCGTGCGTGCGTGTGCGTGCGTGCAAGTGTGTGTGTGTGTGTGTGCGTGCGTGTGTGTGTGCAGCTGGCGAGGGACTGAAGCTGCCTGTTTTGTTTGTATTTTGCACATTTGGGATTCAGCAGAGCGTTCTCCATCAGTGAAGTGAATTTACATTTTCCGAGGCAGTAATAACATAAAACCCATACTAATGTTAACACTTCTGCACACTCAGATTCACGTTGTCCAGCCGCATGATTGCATTTGTGTGGTGCTTAATAAAATGACTCACTTGACATTATCAAACAATTTAGCTGTAATAGCTGGCCATAAATGTGAAATTGTGTTTTTCAGGCGATTAGTTTGTTGTTACGCCGTTCAGGCAGACCAAAACCCCCCCAAAAGTTCACAGTTTCTTATAAATAATGTAAACATGTGATTAAAAAGCAGAACTGTAATTGTTTTGTGGCACAAAAGGAAAGTGAAAAATGCAGTCAGGTGTGGTAACTTGGATAAACAAGTGTGATATCAGCTAAGAACAAAAAGAGAGCAGCGCTTTATTCCTTTTTGATGCATCTGTGAACAGAAATAATCGACACAGTTCACTGCATGCAGTCGCTCCTTTGATGTTCTGAAGACATCGCTGCATGGCGGATATTTATGAGCTCAGTCTGTTAAAATTCAGCCTACACCTTCTAATATACACAAACATCCTCTCAAATGGCTGATCCCGAGGAGCGTTTTTGTAACGTGGTCCTGATTAAAAGTGATCCTCCCAATAATCTAATTGAGTTCTAGCATGTGCTGCTGCTGCTGGCATGTGATTGAGTGGAGAGAAATGTAACACTGCGTTAAAATTAGTCTGAGAGGTTAAAATTAGCCCCCAACATCCCTCAGATCTCCTGTTACCTTTCCTAAAGTCAGTCTGCAGACGGGGCCCATTGTCGTGTGATTAAAGCGGCACAAAGACACAAGTGTAAAGTTACTATTGAAACGTGCCACGCTGGACAAATTTA